ATGAATTGTATGAATTTTTAATTTGTGTCCATAAAGCAAGTTTGAGACACTCATTTACTTATCTCCAGCCAGAAGGGAGCAGGAGGGGAGATCTGCCCAGTGAGCCTAGCGAATGTTCCCTCGGCAGGCCGGGCAGCTCTGCCCAACTGGTGACGTGCTCCCATCTCCCCGCAGCCCCCTGCCACATGGCTCTTGTCTTTGTGTATGGCACCCTGAAGCGAGGCCAGCCCAACCACACAGTACTGCTGGATGGTACACATGGCTCCGCGGCCTTCTGCGGCCGGGGCCGCACGGCTGAACCCTACCCGCTGGTGATCGCTGGTGAACACAACATCCCCTGGCTGCTCCACCTCCCAGGCCGGGGCCACTGTGTGGTGGGCGAGATCTATTCCGTGGATGAACAGATGCTGCGCTTCCTGGATGACTTCGAAGGCTGTCCTGACATGTACCAGCGCACTGCTGTTCAGGTGGTGGTGCTCGAGTGGGAGGGCGAGGGTCACCCTGGGGAGAGCATGCAGTGCTTCGTGTACAGCACGGCCACCTATGCGCCTGAGTGGGCCCACCTCCCCTACCATGACAGCTATGACTCGGAGGGGCCACATGGGCTGCGCTACAATCCCCGGGAAAACAGGTGAGAAGGGCTGGTGGCACAGCAGGGTCAGAGGGGACCTGCCATTGCCCTGTCACCTTGGCTCTATGGACCCAGCACAAAAGTGGATGAGCATGTCAGTTGTAAAACTTCTACCTAGAAAGTAGAACTCTCAGTGACACTGCACTGAATGTGACAGGGTCGGGCCCACAGACCTCTCCCAGGTTCTGCAGTGCTGCTTAGAGGTTGTTTGTGGGCTTGGGCGTATTAGTTAAAAAAGCGTCAAATGCTAATCCCTCCTAGATGGCATCTGAAGGCCTCACACGGTGCACTTCCCTTTTTGCTTTGGCTTATGCTGAAGATCACATACTTGTGACTAAAGATTACATTGCAGTTGCTTCTCAGATGACTGTACTGATTCTAGCCTGCAGCACCTAGAAAAAGAAATTTCAATAAAAGCTGACTTTTAAAAGCTAAAAGCCTCAAGAAAACGTGCTGTACTGGAAAGCATATGTAGCGCATTCTTCCTACTGTTCACACTGCACCAAAACTGTTCGCGATGTCCATTTGAAATAAAATTAGAGGTTCCGAGAGCAGCCCCGATGTGTGGTGCTCCAGGGGCCCCTTTCTGGTCATTTTCTTGACAGAAGGTTCTTTTCATTCTAACCGAGCAAGTCATGAACACCCACTTGCAGGAGACACAGCTGAGTGCCCGGACTTCCCAGGGACACGGCTCAGAGTGCAGAGCCCAGCACCAGGCCATCCCTGCTTCCAAGGTGCGGCGCTGGTGGGTGGGCCTTTCAGAGAAGAACCAGCACGTTGGTAATTTGTTCTTCAGGACTGACAGAAGGCTTAGCTTCCAAACGCAAACAGCACTTAAAATAATGTTAGCAAGGCACGAAGTACCAATTACTGCCCACCTCCATCTGATAGTCTGTCAGTAGAGACTCTCGTCAGCGCACGACTGTGCTGCTGCTCACCAGCAAAGGGCCCCATGGATTCCAAGAATGTCGGGACCAAATGAAGATGCAGCTGCTGGTCCTTGGTGACTCGTTCTCCACTGGGAGAGCTCTCGTACTCTTCAACTTAATGGTAGACTGTGATCACTAACTACATCTGGCACAGAAACATGATCATTATTTTTAGCCTCTTTTCTTAATTGGAAACTTGCTCTGCAAAACACAAAAAGGCAAGGATGGGCACCAGCTGACAAGCTGGTGGCAGCTCTGCTCACTAGGGCTGCAGTAAGGCGGCCCCTCAGGCCCTAGCCTGCAGTGAGGCCTGGGAGGTGTCCTGCCCTCTGGCTCAGTCTGCAGGCCCTGAAGTGACCTGAGACCTGTGTGGAGCTACAGCAGGGAGGGGCTTCCGGTCTCTAGGAAGCCGTGGACAGCCAGCTCAATTCACTCTCAGTTACCAGGGACCGGAAGGTGCCCCCATATACAGTGGCAAATGCTGCCTTCATAACATCAGAGGCACAGAACTGAATTTATATAAGCTTTTTTTAAGGATCACAATGAAATACTGTTGTTTATACTCAGCTGGGACAGCCCGTCACCAATGTGTATATTGTCTCTAGAAAAGAGTGAACTAATTTTTAGACAAATGCTTGGCTTTATTGATTTAAATTTGGCACTAGGAAATTTCACAGCAGAAGCACAAATCATATGTACAAGTATTTATATCAATAAAAATTTTCGTTGGTGATTTTTTTGGCAGAGCCTGGACTGAGTCTGACTTATGTGGAATAAATACAAGGGTGCGGCTGCATAGTGAGCCCTCCATCGGCTGGAGGTGGGGTGCTCGAGGGAGGCCGTGAATACTTCATTCCAGCTCCACCAGCAGATCGCCTTCTCCAACTGTGTCTCCGGCTTTACATTTCACAGATTTCACCTTGAATTTAAGTGGGAAAGAGAGAGTCATTCACAGGAGCCAGTGGGGCGGTCACCAAGTCGGCTTCGGGTGAGGTGGGTCCAAGCCTGCAGCTTAGCATTCAACTGCTCCACTTAGGGGTCAGTGCTGTCCCTTCCTCCCTATCTGTCACCATCAGCCTGGGAGGCTCATCCCTGAGAATTCTGGCCATCGTTTGCTGACTGGCCTCTTCTAATGGGCACTTGGGTCCAAGCCACATTTATTGTCTGCAGTACTAAGAACTGAACCCAAGGCCTTGTGGATACTGGGCAAGTGCTGGGCCGCTAAGCCGCATTCCCAGACCTGATAGTACTTTATCCTGGGGCAGGGCCTCACTAAATTGCACAGACTAGCTTGAGCTTGCAGTTCTCTGTCTCAGCCTCCTGAGCAGCTGGGATTATAGAGGCAATGCCACATCTGGCGCAGGCCCCGTCTTAAAATCTGACTCATCAGACAGCTCTCCACCCTCCCTGTGCCTTTAGGTTGTAGAAATGTTCAGAGAGTGCCATTTTTAATTTCATGTTAAAAATAATTTTAAAAACTATACAGTAAACCAAGTAAGTATTAAAGAGACAGCCTTGCTTATCTGGTCGCAGCCCTCCTTTTGAGGGGAATGAAGCGCCAAGGAGCCCCGAGGCCCTACACTTGCCCTTGGCATTGTGATGGGATGCAGAACTGTACCTTCACGTTTTGACTGCCCCCAAATGCAGTCATGTTTCGTTTGCCTGGATTTGTATCATTTAGAATTAGCAGACGGGCTGTGCTGCCTGAGGAACAGGCACCTCCCCCTTAAAGCAAGCTGACTGGGGTGACACGCACAGCAAGTCCAGACCAACTGGCCGCATGGCTGACAGCGAATAGCAGCGCTGCCAGGTGCCTGGGGCAGTGCCCTGTATGGGTCCTGCCCTCCTCAGGGGGCAGACCACACAGACACTTGAGCTCAGAGTCTTCACTGTGAACCTGGCAATGAATGCTTCCAGGGGCTCACCTGGTAGGTGCATTTGTACTGATGGGAATGGTGGCTTGGTGTTGGGCACTGCTGTATCCCTGGGTGGCATCTTCACCCCTCTGCACTGTTACCATTTTTGTGTCTTTGAGATGGTCTCACTACTGGTCTAACGTTGGCCTTCCACTTGTTCCCCTCCTGCCTCAGCCTACTGAGCAGCTGGGATCACAGGCATGCCCCCTCTTACCAGCTAGGTGGCTGCTCTTTTATGATCTCAGTGCCTTCCACAGTTACATACGCACTGTTTTAATGATGGTATGATTACAAGGGGGTCTGTTTCCCTTGCAGATGGTTTCTGCAGAAGGAAACATGGACTTCCCAGGTTAGAACTGTCTGCCTTAGACTCAGCCAGGGCTGCTCTAGCTGGGCCCTGGAGCCACTGGCTTGAGGTCTGGGGATGGAGAATGGAGAGGAGGGTCTCCAGCCCATGCCCAGTAAGGCCAGACAGGCAGCTCCAAGGGGCCCACCCACAAGGACAGGCTGCCTGCTGATGAGGCTCTGCTGCTTGGAGGATGAATGCAGGCTCCTTTGCCCCTCAGCCTGGCCACACAGGTAGCTAGCTTGCAGCTGACACCCACTCTTGGTCCCCCAAAACCAAGTCACGTACTCAACGTGGAGTGGAAATTTCACAACGCTCTGCCACGTAAGTGTTAATCTCAAAGAACAAAACAATTTTCATATGAACAGAAACCCACAATTTCTTATCCCTTTCTTAAAATACCAAATTTAGGAAGGATTCTTGAAGCACTCTGAAAATTATGTGAAGCCCATAGACATGGCACAGCAGTAGGCACCTGTGCCAGCGCTGCAGCCCACATAGGGTCCCACATACATGGGGACCTGTTTCCCCCGGTAGAGACAGGAGGTGCCCTCGGCCTTCCTGAGGCTCTCACTGCCTTGTGGTGTAACAGATAAGACAGGCAGAAGCGGCCTCTCCTGATGTGAACTAACGCCTCTCTCACTGCACCCAGTGTTACCACGGTGAGGCCATGGCACAGGGCCCAGCCAGCCTTTGCCACTGTCCTCACCTGCCCAGTCACACACAGCGGTATGGACACTGCTTACTGTTAGCATTTGCATGGCTATGGGCAGACAGTGATGTGACCGCTTCACAGGGCTCTCCCATTTTCAAGGAAAAAATGTATTAACAGAGTTTTACTCTTAACCAGTTTTCCCCACATGTGAACAAGGGGTTTCAGTTTCTCTCGATCTACAATTGAAAATCTTGGAAGTGTTACGTTAATTTTTGCAATCCGTAAAACTGTTTCCTGCTGTGTCACCTAAGTCTCAGATAACTAACTGCCTAAAAGACAGATGTAAGCATTAAAAATTAAAGACACCTTAATTTGAAAGACATTAAGGTGAAGAACCGACTGTTCTTTGACTCTGAACAGAGCCTACTCCTCTCTGGAAGGCCAGGCCACACTCTGTGAGGCCAGGAAGCACTGGTATGGGAAGAGAGCCCCATTTTGGTGTCCTCCTCAAGGTCACCTCCATAGTCACGTTCAGACCAGACCATGCAGGACACAAGCTCCACTTCTCACAAGAGTGGCACGGCCGGTGGGAGCGGTGGCCTTACCTTGCCAGTCTTCCCGGCTGTCATGCTGTTCTGCATTTTCATGGCTTCGATCACACAAATTTCCTGACCTTCTGCTACCTGGAAAGTGAATTACAAATAGACTGTGCTTTTACAATCATTCTAATTTTCCAGTAATACCCAAGAATGAAACCATTAAGGAATTCTTTGTCGAAAGTACTAAAACATTCATTATAACAGCAACAATCTCAGGGCCTTCTCATTTCAAACTCATCTTTAAGAGACAGGGAAAGGCCATTTCCTCAATCACTGAGTCCTCACTAGAAAAAACCTGACACTGGCGGTCAGGATGAGGACAGCACTGCCACTTGGAGGGCTTCCTGTGGGCACATCTGAATGTAAAAACAAGTGCGGCAAGACTGGGTGGCTTTGCACTTACCTGACAAATCTCTACAGACAGAAAGCCTGATAGCTGCCTGCAACTGGGGATAAAGGAATGACTGCTAACGGGTACAGAGTTGCTTCTCAAGCAGTAGAACTGTGGCACATACCTATAGTCCTAGTACTTGGGAGGCTGAAGCAGGAGGGTCACTGCGAGTTCAGTTCAATGTCAGCCTGAACTACATAGTGACACCCTGTCTCAAAAAAAGATGGGTCACTGCTCAGGTCTGCACGGACAAAGCCACTGGATCGTACACTTCAGAGGGGTGAGTTATAGCTCAGGAGAGCTGTCATCACAATTATATCTCTGAGTATTGTCCTAGGAATCTTGGACTAGCTCGGAGCAAGGCCTGAAGACCGCTGTCCCTGTCTCCATAAGGCACAGAAGTGCCGACCACAAGGCTGCTCCTAAGAAGCACCTTCCCATGCTGGAAGTAACTCAGAGTTCTGTCCAGGCCTTGCAGGGAGCCAGCGGCTGCAGCAGGCGCTCACACAAGCTGTGGGTTCTGATGTCTGCCTTGCTGAATGGGTACAAAACCACTCCATTAAGCTGGAATTGATTATGACCAAAACCTGTGACTAGAACCTACTCTTCACATTTCTCTGGCCTTGATGGATCATTATCAATGAGCTGGGCCGGATTTCTGAGCCCTGAACACAGCCTCCCAGTCCCTGGCACTGCAGGATGAGGCCCCACAGGGTATAGTGGACATGCTATATGCTCTTGGGGACAGTCACACCACTGGGCTGTGCTTGGCCAGTGGCACAGAAGTACATGAAGAATGTTCTTTCTTGCAGTCCCCAAGTGATCTCCAAGTCCCCGCGTGGCCCCCCCCTGTGGCCAAGCTGCCTTGCTGGCAGCGCACAGTGCCTGAGCCCCGTGTGTTCTTTTCCTCTGCTGTTCAGGTGGTGGGATGCTTTTTCCTGGCACAGGAATATAGGAAGAGAGGGGATGCCAAAGCTTCAGAGCTGGCATGGAGGAGACACTGCGCTGGCAAGCAGGCTCTGAGGAGCTGTGCTCACTGCCGCTTTTGATTCTTGTCACCTGGCATCTGCATTCCATGGACAGACCAGGGACCTTTGAGGGCTGCTCTTCATAGGCAGGGCACTGGCATGGGCAAGGGCAGTGCTAAGGTGGCACAAGAGCCCCCAGCAAAGGTGTTAGGACAACTGCTCCCTTGTGCCTTCACTTTAGACCTTTTCACTCGGCAGAGGAAGGAGGGACTAAGGGAAGCAGGAGAAGGGTTGAGCCCCCATATGACCTCTGCCAGTGAGGTGGGCACAGGAGGTTCCTGTGGGCCCAACCCATGGCTTCCTAGACAGAGCCAAGGGTCTGGCTGCTGGACTCAAATCACCCTCGCACATCCACTAGACACCCAGACTACTGGGACGGGCCCTTCAGGGAATGGGCCAGCTGGAAATTCTATCCAAAATGGGAACCAGTTTTCTCCACTTATTCCCTTCACAGAGGGATGAGCTTCCACTGTAGGATCATGGTGCTGGCTTCTTCCATGCGCCCCAGCCTGTCTTCCTCCGTAGGCATCTCAGCCCCATCTTCCCCCCTCACCCCTTCA